TTTGACCTTCCCCACACCCTCCTTGGTGGGGGAAGAAGCACCTTACGCGGGCAGCATGCTGAGGGTCAGACTGAGGCCACAGCCACCGTCTGAGGCCAAATGAGAAGCTGGGGACTAGCAATGACCTTTCAGTCAGGCTGGAGGCCTACTCCACCCGGCACCGGGCAGGAACCGAGGCTGATACCTGGCGCCCACATTTTTCTCTCAGCAGCAGATCAATCAACAGAGCCCAGGAAGCAGCTCTCAGGGGAGAAGCCCACAGGAAAGGGGAGGGCGGTGCTCACCGAGAGGACAATGTAGCAGTCGCCCTCATAGAAGTTGCCATGGGCACTCAGGGGTACCAGTGCCAGCTCCATTTTCTGAAAGGACAAGGAAGGTACAGGGCAGCACTCCTTGCCCCTCCCTTCGACCCACCCGCCCTTAACACTGTCCTTGGCACAGGTGCTATGAGAGCAAGAAGTCCCCAGCACGGGGCTTGTGTGGCTGCCACTCGGCTTCTGCGGGCACCACCTGCAAAAGCCTGGATCCCAGTCTGGGTCCCATCCCAGCTTTCTTTTCCCTGCCCTCCTCCCGCCGCCTGCTCGGTCTCATCTCACCATACTGTGTGGAGCCTTGTGCACCCCTGCAGGGCTTTGCAAGGGAAAGAGGAGGACATGAACTGTCAGGCACCCACCCTGCCCACAACCCCAGCAGTCAGGCCACCAGTGCCCATCCACCCTGACCACCCACAGCTGCCTAGGCCTGCTCTACTGGGAGTGTAGAGGTGGGGAAGCTGATGGCTTTAAGTGCTGGGGACTCCATGCCTTGTGCCCTACTGTTGGGAGTCTGGGCTGGGGACCCGTTTTGTCGCTGCATGGACTGCCTGTCCTGGGGCAGTCACCCACACAGCTTCAGGTGCAAGTTCTTATCACTGCTCCAAGTGAGCAGCCCTGCAGGCGCACTGCGTGTGCTCTACGTAAAGTATGTGTGTGAAATGTATGAAGATAAAATAGACTATGGTTTCTGTAACTCCACCTTAGTACCCTTACATTTTATTCATTTAATTAACTTTTTTGGCGGAACCAGGGATTGAACTCAGATCCTTGCATTTGCCAGTCAAGCGCTTATCCTACTGAGCCATCTCCCCGGCCCCTACATTTTTAAGTAAAGTGGGAGGCTTAAAATGATGGAAGTGGCCTGGGTCTCTCCAAGCTCTGAGAGCCTGGCTGAAGATTGGGATCCACGGTTTCACACTGCTGGTTTTATACAGCAGCACACGGCTGGGCTAGGAGGTGGCCTCACATCGGGCAGCTGGAGCTACTCAGCCCAGAGCTCCAGGCTCAGAGTCACTCTGAGGGAGCCATGCTCAGGGTGGGGCAGGGGCAGGGATGAGCAATGCCATCTGTGCCACAGCCCTGTCCCTGCTTTGTAGAAGCCTGGGTCCTGTAGGAGATGCATTCTATGTTCCGGTTCTCTCGTGGGGCCTCCTCAGAGTCCACCCATCTTCCTAGGACATTAACTGCTAGTGCAGACTCAGAGTAGATGGATGCTGATGGGACAGAGAGCAAGCTAAGTGGCTCAGAGCCTTGCTTTCCAGGGCTAAGAGCATTTAGCTTCTTTCACCGTCTACCTACCTGCTCTGAGTACCAGGGAGGGGACGAGGATGGGGCAACATGTACTTTTGAGGCTGCCTCTCACTGCGCTCAAACCACGGACTCAGGAGGGCAGGAGGCTACTATCTAGGAGGCACTGGCAGCGAGATTCTGCCCACGGATGCCAGTGGGCAGCAGGAGGGGTCCAGCTCACCTCAATCCTCCAGGTGATGATCCCAGGGTCGTTGCCCACAGCCCTGAAGGCACTGCTCAGAGACATCGTGCTTTTCTTCCCAGGACTGAAACATCACAGAGCAAGAGCTAATGCCCCTTGTGCTGGGCATCAAGCCAGTTCTCCTCCTAAGTCAGTTCCCAATCTCATTTGCCATTCTGCCATTCCTTGTGGTATGCACATCCACACCTTTCCAGCGTGACAGGGAAACAACTAGATTAAGTTTGCAGAAACCATGGCTGGCTCTGTCCTTTTTGCCAGTCCTGCTTCTATCCCACCACTTCCTTTCTAAGAGCCCAGGAGAGGCCCATGGGGTAGGGGGAGGCAAATATGTTAAGCCCTATGCTCACTCACTTCGCCTACATTATCCCATTTAATTTTCAGGAGAGCATATTTTCTTCATCTCATGCTGTAATAGAGTTGAGGTTTAGAGGTTAAAGAACCTGCCCGAGGGTACGCAGTAGAATGAGATCCGTATCCACCTTAAAACCTGTGCGTGGGGCCGGGGAGATGGCTCAGTGGAATAAGTGCTTCCCTGGCAAGTGTAAGGGCCTGAGTTCAATCCCCAGTTCTGCCAAAGAAAAACAAAACAAAACAAAACAAAAAACCTGTGCTTTCAGCCACTTGGACATACTGAGACCCTTCATAGGTTAATCTAAATTCTATGGCACGAGGGGAAAAAACATGAGAAAAATTTCCAAACTTCATAGCTTTCTGCCACCTTATTCACCCCTACTTTTCCCAGATCTTTGATTTCAGGGTCCTCTCACATCACCTCTTTGACCTGCTCTTTGGGATTATAAATTTATTATTGTTTTATTTAAGTGAACTATCCTACATCTCTATCCTCTCTGCCTTTGTTGTATGACTAATACATTCCCTGGGCTTTTCAGCTGGGATTGGGACAAAAGAAGGGTTCCAGGCCTTGGCAGAGGAAGGTGGGTGTGGCCTGGGCTTGCCAGTCAGTGGGCAGATGGGGCCACCCCACCCTCCCCCCATCCCCCGCACACACAGAAAATTTGGTCTCCAGTTCCTTGGGTCTGATAGAGGTAGGACTAGGAGATGAGGAAGTGGTAAAGAGAAGCCTGTGTGGATTTGGGGCTTTCTGTAGTCACAGTGTGGTGTGGTTTATCAAGAACCTGTATATACCCAGGTCTCCTATGAGGTTGATGTTATGTTTCCCTCAGTAATTCCAGCTACCAAGCTTTCAATATGACAATACGCATCACAAATACTAGTTTTTCCTTTAAGTAAAGGAAAAATAATGGGATGGATGAGTTTACATAGGACTTTTAAAATGTACTGAGGAAGGACTGTATGGATTCTTACTATTTAGAGGCATATGGCACTTGTTAGGAGGAAAATATGTAGGGTTAGGCAGTTCAGGCCATTTCCCCAGCATATTCAAGGTCCTGGATTCAATCCTCCCCACACATGATGCAAGCGAGCGAACATATCTGACCATTCTTTTCTTGAGCCTTAATAGATGAAACCAGGTTTGGAGAACATGTGCCATTATCTAGTATGGACTTTGGCAACAAATAAAACAAAAAGAGCAAACTCCCTTTATGCTCCACTAAAACAAGACTAAAGCAGAGCAATGATGTGGAGCAGCCAGTGTTGGAAGATTTAATTCAATAACTTACACAGCCCCACCCTGTGCTGCTCAGAACTGCCAGGAAATAGGCTTGGATTTTTTCCAAATTCTAGATTTCAGACATTAAAGGCAAATAAATGCCTGGCCCGACTAGAGAAAGGGGGCTAGGGCCAATTCATTTATTCCTTGGAGACAGGAGAAGTGTCAACTCGGTAAAAACCAAACCAACAGGAATTAGGCCTGAATCTCAGAGACCAAGAGCAGCTCCACTTCCTAGCAGACTTCAAAATTGGGAAGCTCACAGGACCAGGTACCCCAAATGCAGGAGAGGATACACTCCAAGAGGGGTCTTCTTACCACACTGGAAACATCCAGAAAACCTAATTCCATCTGCAATATCCTTCCAAAGCTGAGTCTCCCCTTTCCAAGTCTTAGTTTGTTAATTCAGTATCCTCTGAGGACTGCGGAGATCCCTGGAGCTGGCAATCCCTCCTGTCAGAGATCCCCTGTGGGTGGGCCCAGAGGCTGGTCTGAACTTTCACCTTGTCTTCTCCCCTTTGAAAATGTACTTGACCTGTTCAGTAGCTAAGAATGGCCTTTGCACTTCTCAACAGGAAGTTTGCAAAACTGATCACAAACCCCTTGCTGAATCCTTTAAAAGCCTCAACACAGACAACAAAGCCAAAGTAATTTCTCCCTCCTGCGCTTTTCCTTCATTCAGTAGGATTGTTCAACTGAGGAACGGCCATAAATCAGAGACCTTACCTTCTCCCGTCTTCCTAGTTCTCCAGCCAGTAAGCAGCAGCAGCACGGAAGAACTACCCCAGCGCAGCACCTCCAGATCCAGCGACTCAGCCTAATGGCTGCACAGACTCTGGGTTATATTTGCTTGTGTTTGCATCTTTACTGCATTTCCTAGTCCTGGCCAATCACGGGCTTGACTTATTCAAACCAGAGGGAAAGCTTTATCTGTTCTTATTCAAAGCAGCAAAAACAAGGAGAGTGGACTTTTAAGGGCTTCTTTTAACTCCAGCGCCACACCCTGATCTATTGATTTTTTTTTTAAAGTGTAGAGTCCATCAATAATGCAAAAAGAGACAGGGAGGATATGAAATTTGCCATATTGTAGATATGAATGCATTATGCCGATGACAGCAGGCAGCACTGCCCACTCTGTGTGCCTGGATGTCCAGGTTGCCGGAGCCTCCCGGAGAAGCTTCTGGCTGATTCTTAGAGAGGAGTCAGGAGGGTTTCTGCCAGCCAGTATGTACTGGAAAGCCTCCTGGGTACCAGGAACCATGCTGGACTCTGAACATCTGGATTCGGGGTTTGGAAGGCCCAGAATGGGAGGCAAGAATTGACTCGCATCTTTAGGGCTTCTGGTTCATGCCCAGCAGTCAAGAGGATACCAAGGTGCTTGCTAAGCACCTGGATAGCAATGGAGTTGGCTCCAAATGGGAGCATGGAGAAACTTAACGGAGGTCGGCTTCTGCAACCTTGACAGGAAGCCCAGCACTTGTTCCATTTGGGTGCCACAAGGGAAGGTCATATCCATAATAAGCCCCAATACATGATGGGATAAGAAGGCAGCCATTGTGGGTAGGTTTTTAAAAACCGGCTTTTATTAATTAATTGTAAGTGATACAAATATTCCAAAAATATAAACAGACACTTAATGGCGTCCTACATTTCAAGTTTTTGAATACAACAAATTTATCAAATCATGAAGCAAGGTAGTCAGAATCCCATAGCCCAGTCAGTGGGAAGCAGACCTCCTCCCCTCCAAATGGCATCTTGAAAGGGGATCACAGCAAACTCGGGGTACTTATAAGCAAAGAAGCTCACCAGATGAAGAGGTGGGCTGACAGCTGGCCAGCCCCCACCTCTTCTCCTGTGGTTGAATATGCAGATATTTACTGGCGCTTAAAAAAAGGAGAAAGACAAAACCAAGTCCCATTTCAGAAAAAAAAGGTGGTTGAATGATAGTAACAATTAAGTAACCAACTGAAGACCAGAAGGGGAAAGTGGGCTTTGCTCTCAAATACTGCGCCTGGCTGGGCCACTTGGTGCAGGCCAGCTGTACAAGGGGCTGCCCCACTAATGAGGACTTGGGAGGGCAGGGGCAGCAGAACTGCTGGGTGCGCCCCCCAGGAAGCATTGCCTTGAGGCTCCTATGCTTTTAGTATTAAAAAAAAAAAAAAAAAAAAAAACAACCTTCTGGGCCACTGTTAAGAGCTGCATTTATGCACTGACACAAAAATCTTTGGGAGGAAGGAGGGAACTAAACGGAAGGTCCCAGGGTAACTGAAGGCAAACTCACTCGAGCAAAAGACCCATGGGCCTACCGAGCGTGCATCCCCTCTACAATGTGCAGAGAGAAAACCCTTCTCGGACCCTTTACCGCACTGGTCCTGTGTCCAAAGCCCCCCTATAAGAGGGATGAGAACATCAGGCTGATTTAGAAGCCCAATCAGAGAGACACACTGTGTCCCTGAAGAGGCACCTGAAAGAGCTGAACCTGGCAGGCGGGCAGATTCTGGCATGGCTTGAGTTGGTGACCACAGCGGGCACAGTGGCCTACTTTCTCCTGAAGACCAGTCTCAGGGGACAGGCTGGTGGCAAGCCCCAGCACAGGTTGCGGGAGTGGCTTCCTCTCAGTCTTGCCCTCCTCAATGCATTAAGTAAGTCTGCCTGATTCCTCTGAGAAGCAAGCTGTACAACCACCACTTGCCCCAACACATTGTGAAACCAGAATGCAGATGGCAAGTGATGACTTCAGGCTGGTGCTGGTCCACATGGACCGCCCTTGTTTAGTTTTGGTCACGATGCTTCTCTGGGAAAGGAGATGGAGAGTGGAGGTGGCATGACCATGGAAAACCTGCGGGAGAGCAGGTGAGTGGGGCCTGGACAGCTGGGGCGACTGGGCTGCCTTAGGCTTTGGTCACGGTCACACGATGAGCCTGACAGGAATGGGGGTGGCACAGGCTCTGTGGGGGAAAAAACATGGAAATCTGAAAGAGGGCAAAAGTTCAATCAGCTCAGAGCCTCTTATTGCTTAGTCAGAAAAGCTTGGCCTGGACAGGTGGCAGAGACTTGCCTGAGGCTATACTAGAATGGCAGTGGAAGCCAGGACCTGGTCTCAAGCCACAGCTGTCCTTAGCTTCTGAGCATCTCCTTTCCTTGCAGAGATGGCCTTCCCGGCTAGCACCTGGCACCCTCTGTGTAGGACCCCACAGGCACAGGGAATCATCCTGGGGGAATGACTGCAGGAGGGCTGGTGCTCTGTTCTTCTTCTCTGACAACAAAGAGAAAGACAAGGCCACCCACACTGGGACAGGAAGGAAAGGTGACACTACAAAGATCTAGCCACACCGCTACCACTCAGAATGCTCAGTGGCTGCTCTGCCACCTGGTTTCTCGAACTGATTAGTTCCTGAGGCTGGATCTAGATCATGTGCAGAAACTGGAAAGGTCAATAGGAGGAGTCCTGAGTGGGCAGTGTACCCGAACCAGAAGCAATCCACAAATGCTCTAGGACATCTGTATCTCCAGGGACAGGGAGGGGATCCCTCTTCCATCCTAGGAGGGAGGAAAGAGCCCCACCCAGGGGAGGCCTTAAGGCAGTGATGCTGAGGTAGGGTCCCCCTTGTGGAGGGCCCTCGTGCTCCCAATTACAGCAGCACTTCCTCCTCTGTTTTTCACCCAGGGGAAAGCTTGCATGTTGTGACTTCTTTAAAAAAAAAAAAAAGTACTCATTATTAATAATTTTTGAAAGCAGAAGATACCCAGAGTTCAGGTGTGTAAGGGGTTCACTCACTCCTGTTTGGAGGGTGTGGAAAGTTAGCAAACCACATGGTAAGAGTGCCTGTCCCCCTCAGTCTGGCAAAGCAGGAGTTCTGAGACTCAGAGGAAGTGAGAGCCAAGAAGGATGAAGACAGGAACAGACTTCAGCACAGGACAGACCATCGGGGAAGACGCAACAGGAAAGAACCCTGCCCAAGCCAGGGAGGGGCCAGGCAGCTTGGACAGCCTTTCCTAGCCTTCGGAACGAAAGTCCCTGTGCCAGCAGCAGCACTAGCACCGAGTCCCTGAAGAGCAGACTCACGGAAAGCAGCTCAGCTGATCTGCCAGGCAGGAGGGCATACACTCGCTTTGGAGATTTAACTCTTCCGTGCACCCCAGCACCTCCCACTCATCTCAGGCCCAGGATTGCTGTTTTGCCAGAAACAAACCAGGTCCAATGCTCCATGTTCAGAATGGGAATTTCACAAGAACGGAAATCAGTTATCTGTTGTCTTCCAGGGCAGGCAGCAGACCTCCTTCCCCTCGGGATCAGGGCTATGGCTGGGAGGTAAGGAAGGCAGGCCCGGCGCCTAAACCTTTGGAGACAGATGGGGTGCACAGCAGGCACTCGGCTGGAGGCCGGTACAACCCTTGGGCCATAGGACCTGATGGTCACAGGTTTACTGGTTCTGGAAAGGAGTCCTCGTCTTCCCAGGAATGGCATCTTTTATCTGCAGTGACCAGGCTGGAGTTTTCACAAAGGTGTGCACCTGGGGCACCAAGGCAGCCGCTGACCTCTCCTTTCTCCTTGCATAGGCCTTCCTGAGGAAAGGCCGTGGATTGGTAACAGAGCCTGCAATCACAGTCTTTACCCCTGCACAGCTCACAGGGTGGCAGGAGAGGAGATGAACTAACTTGGGAAAAGTTGATCTTCCCCACTGAAATGCTGGGTCCCCATTTCTTACACATACATACACACACACACCCACACCCACACCCACACACCCCATACTAACACACACGTCTATCTTGGGAACCTGGCTTGGAACAGGCACCTCTGGATACTGTTGGTCTGACCCACCCAGCTGGCATCTAACCTGCCCTAGAGCTCTTTCCAACCACATCTACTTCCAGGCGCCATCTGCTGAGGTGCTGAGGGTTCCATCTTCACTCGGGCTGTCAGGCTGATCAAAAAAGGCACAGTGTAGCAAAGTCCCCTGCTAAGATAGCCACTGCTTGGCAGCAGGAGGGCTAAGGGGCACGCAGCTGCCCGAGGCTGGTGTAGACGTCGTCTGCTCCACTTAGTTCCTCAAAGATTGGAATCAGGTTGAGCAACTCGGTGTCTGCCATGTCATCAAACCAAGACTGCACAGGCACCTGGGCAGAAGAAGGTGGCATCAGTGTGACTGCCACTTCCTCCTGCCCTGGCTCAGGGTGCTGCTGTGCCAGCCCCAGTGGGGCACTCCTCTAGGGAGACCCATGGTTCCCGAGCCCCCACCCCATCCCTAGCATGCTTTTTTTTTTTTTTTTTTTTAAATTTTGGTAGAACCGGGGATTGAACTCAGGCCCTTGTGCTTGCCAGGGAAGCACTTATTCTACTGAGCCATCTCCCCTCTGTCCCCATCTCTGCAGTGCAGGACAGTCGGGACCACTCACTGCATTCTCAGGGTGGAAGATATAGGAAGCTGGCGAGTTGTCCAGGATGAGGGTTTTCCTCAGATCCCTCCCCAGGCGGCTGAGATCCTTGACATAGCAGCCCTGGTGGAACACACAGGATTCCCGGAACAGGCGGGCCCGGAACACCCCACACCGGTCCAACAGGTCTGTCACAGGGTCAGCATACTGAGGGAGAAAAGATGCCGCAGTGTGGGTGCAGTCCCGAGGGCACCCCGTGGCATCCCAAGGATGCCCATAGCCGCTGTGCATCTCATACTTTCTCCCCTGAGGCTCCCCAGTACCTTGGCCAGGCTGGCAGTGAAGAGAACACATTCAAAGAGCTCCCCCATTCGTCTCAGGAACTCATCCACATAAGGCCTCTTGAGCACGTACACCTGAAGGGAAGCACAGCTGGCTGTTGGGGGACCCTGCGCTGAGCAGCCCAGTACCTGTCCCCTTCCCTGCTAGCAGATAGAATGGCACACAGGGCCAGGCTCCCAAACCCAGCTGGCTGGAACTGCCCAGCCCAGGGTAGCCTCCCCTGCCCCAATGCTTCTGCTGGCTCAGTAGTCCCGACCTTAGCTCTGAAGGACAACACAGCGTGTCCTGGGAGCCATCTCTGATTCCAACGGTGGGTCATCAGCTGCCTCCAGAAACAAGTAATCAAGAATAGGCCTCACAGATGGAAACAGCCTATCCTGGATTACTTGAATCCAGCCACAGCCTCAGTAGGAGCACTGTGTCCTTGGCTCCAGCAGGACAGTTTGTCCAGGTCCCCATCAGGCAAGGACACAGACATTTCCTGACACCTCATGTCCACACAAGACTTCTGCACTGTACCAGGCAGAGGTGACACCCCTCCCCCATCTCCCATCGATCACAGTCGGGAGTCCCTGCCCCATCTTGCTCGAGAGCCTCCTTGTGTGTGTGCTCCTCGTGGCTGCATCCACCCAACACCCACACCCACCTCTCATGACTCGCAGTTTCACTCTCAAAGGTTCTCTGGCTACGGGTCTCCCCATCGGTCTGTGTTCTACCGCTCCTTGCCTTCAGCCTATATAGGCTTCTAGGACCACTTATTTCCTCAAAGATCTTTTCATTCACACTACTCCCTAGCCCAGAAAGCACATGCCATAACTCCCTCCAACAGCTGGCCCAAACCCGCCACCAGCTTACCAGACCCCTTTTATCAGCAGAATCCGCTGCTCTGGGGAGCCACACTTGGCGCCCGTTAGCCACTGTCTCTTCAGCTTTTTTTTTTGGTGGAATCAGGGATTGAACTCAGCCCCTTGGGCTTGCCAGGCAAGTACTTATTCTACTGAGCCATCTCCCCAACCCCATCTCTTCAGCTTTCACAGCCCCTTCTTCCCAGGTACCCGACCAGTTAAAAAAAAAACCCTCACTATTCTTGCCTAAACTTACCTGGGGCAGTAGCCCTCCCTCATCTTGATTTTAGCCCTGTATCAGTACTCATGTCCTCCTTGTTAAGTAGGAGCTCCCAGCACGTATGTGCCTTGTCTTTCCCTGTTGTTCTACGTATCTCTCAAGCCTCCACTAGACTGTGAAGGGCTGCTGCCTGTGGTGGTGGCAGGAAGGAAAGCCCTAATGCAGGCGGGACTGTGACGCCATCCCATCAGAGCCTCACACTCCATTTCCACATGAGTAACCTGCCATGCAAACAAGTGGCAAGGCCACCAGGGTGCCTGTGCCAGTGGCTGCTGCCCTTTGGGCCAGCTGGCAAGCACTCGGAGGGGACAGTCCTTTCCCTGCCAACTTCACAGAATCCTTAACCCTGTGCTGGGTGAAGCGACTGTCAGGGCCAGAGCCTGCTCTGGGTTAGTCTCTCACTCTGACAGATGCCTACCAGGCATTTACTCTGACAGAAGCCACCACAAGGCCAGGAAGTCAGAGGGGGTTTCACGGAGGAACAGCTGCCTGGGCAGGGGAGGAAGAAATTCAACAGTTCTTCATGGGCTGAGGTGTGGGTAGGGGCCTTTGAGCAGAAAAGCATCAGTACTGAGTTTCTTGCCTGTAACAGGCAGAAACACCATTTATGCAGGAATACAGAAAATGCAATAAGCCCTGATAGGTGCTGGCTCCCAGGAGGGATGCAGATAGAAGACAGCTGTTACTATTAAATAATATAAACTGCCCTTGACAGCTGGGCTTTATTATAATTATTACTTTAGAGGTGTTTTTTTTTGCAGAACCGGGGATTGAACTTAGACCCTTGCATTTGCCAGGGAAGCGCTTATTCTACTTTCTACTGAACCATCTCTCTGATAGCCTTGTTGTATAGCTCCAGCTGGCCTTGAATTTACTGTAGCCTGGTTTTAAAGTAAAAGATGAGCTAGAGGGGATGATGGGGCTGAAAAGTGTTTTTCTTGCCTTTTATTTTTGTGGGTACTAGAGATCTACCTCAACGTTTTGTGCTTGCCAGGCTGGGGCTTAAGCCACTGAACTATCTCCTTGGCCCATTTTCTTCCTTTTTTAAAAAAAATTGTGTGTGTGTGTGTGTGTGTGTGTGTGTGTGTCTGTGGCCAGCTCAGCCCACCAGGGGGCGGGACTGGCTGGAGTGTGGTGCTGGGGGATTGAACCGCGGTCCCTGTGCTTTGCTAAGCTTGTTTTAAGTAGGTGCTTTAGACCACTGAGCCATGTCACCAGCCCTTTCTTCCTTTTTTTTAAAAAACAAAATAACAAAAAACAACTTTTGCCTAGAGTGTCAAAGGCAGCAATCAAACAGGAGAGGCCTAAGTCACAGAAAAAGAATTAGTTGATGGACACAAGCCCAAAAGGACCAAGGAGTCTGCACCAGTGCAGCGGAGGGCAGGTCCCCACCCTGGGCTGGGCGCGGCCTGGCTGGAAGCTCACCTGGTGAGTGGTCCCCTCGATCTCCACAGGCACTATGAAGTCAGCATTGCTGATTGGCTGGAAGGCAGAAAGGTTGTGGACATCAGCATGAGAGAGACAGGAAGCCCCCACTGTGCCCCCAGGAAGGTGGAGGCTCCCGGAAGCTCCTGGCGGCCCACTGAGAGCCTCTCAGCCCCACACTGGGTCCAAAACCCCCTCTCCTCAACACCTCGGTGCCATCCTGCCAAATTCAGTTTGAGTTAATTTTTCAGGGCTTCCCTGAGTTAAAAAACAAACGAAAAATGGGGCACAGCCAAAGCTGATTCAACTCTTTCAGGCCTGACTCCTCACGAAGCCCTTGTGCCACTACATGGCTGGGTGTGTGTGTGAATGTGTGTGTATGCAGCCCGCTGGCAGTGCTGTGGACAAGGGCAGGCTAGGGAGTTCCCACCTGACAGTCTTCTGTATGGTCTCTCCATGTCTATGACAGCAGAGAGGCCTGGCCACTCCCTTCTAGCTTTTTTTTTGTACCGGGAATTGAACTCACAGCCTCACAATTGCCAGGCAGGTGCTGCACCACTAAGCTATAACCCCGGGCCCCTTGCAGTTACTTCCATCCTCACCTTTAGGCCACCTCACAACACCTGTCAGGTTCACAGGCAGGCCCACGATGGGTGTAGGAGAACCGCGATGCCAACTTACCTTAAAGGAACTGTGTACAAGGGTTTCATCCAGGTCAATGACCACACAAATCCTTCCTTGATCTTCCTCTGTCACCTCTGGGAGTAGGCAGGTCCCAGGGATCTACAACAAGAGCCCAACTGCTGAGATGTATCCACCCAGAAAGCCTGGCCACTCTCCCAAGCAGAACTCTGATTCATGGGGACAGAATCACCCACTCAGAATAAACACTATTTGAAAGGCAGAGGATGGGGCTGGGGAGATGGCTCAGTAGAATAAGCGCTTGCCTGGCAAGCTCAAGGGCCTGAGTTCAATCCCTGGTACCACAAAAAAAAAAAAAAAAGAAAAAAAAAAAAAAAAGAAAAGAAAAAGAAAAGCAAAAGACAGAGGAGGCAGAGTAGCTCCTTGGTTTCAGCCTAACAGTGAGACTGGGAAGTCCATCTGGACTTGGAGGTGGCAGCCAGGCTGCTGCGCAGTGCGCAGCAGCTCCAGGAAGAGCACAGGGAGCACCAGCCATTCCTGAGGCAGCTGACACTTAGAACAAAGGTTTTGGGGCCCGGGGAGACAGCTCAGTAGAATAAGTGCTTGCCTGGCAAGCGCAAGGACCTGAGTTCAATCCCTGATTCCGCAAAAGAAAAAAAAAAGAAAGAAGGAACAAAGGCTTCCCAGGGCACAGAGGTGGCTGGCCAGAGACCAAAGAGGAAGGGATTGCTACGCCTGCTGGGCTGCCAGAGACCGCAGGGTCAGCAGATTCACGTACCTGATAAAACTGGTACTGGAGACACTGGAGTAGATCCGACTAGGAAGAAAAGGTGACAGTCAGGGCCAGCTCAATTATAGCTCCTGCCCCATCCAAACCCCTGCTTCCGCCAAAAGACTTAGCCACTGGAAGCTCCTTCCATGACGAGAGTGGCAATTTTTTAAAGAGCTGGGCAGGAAAGGGGAAAGGCTAGTGCTTCCTTTCCATTAACAGACCTGACAAAATATGGAGAAGATGGTGCCCTTGTTCCCAGCTGCCACTTCATCTCAAACAAAAGAAGGATCAAGGAATGTACTCAGTCAACCCGGGGCCATATGGAGGCAGAGCCACCACCTGAGCTGCTCACTCCTGCTTAGTCCTTCAACCCCACTTCTCCTTGAGAACATGGGTTTTCTATGGCTACCTCAGGGAACACGCAAGGACTGAGCTCCCACAAAACATCAAGCAAGCCAACGTGAAGCCACCATGTGGAGAGCCAGGAGTTGGGGGGCCACACTTGTGATTCTAGCACTGAGGAGGCTGAGGCAGGAGGATCACTGTGAACTCGAGGCCAACCTAAACCACATAGCAAGACTGCAAAAAACCAACCAAGGGCCAGGGAGATGGCTCAGTACAGTAAGTGCTTGCCTAGCAAGCCAAGGACCTGAGTTCAATCCCTGGTTCCACAAAAAAACCCCTACAAAAACAAAAAAAACCCTCAAAATATGAAGTGTAAAACTCAAAATGACACCCCCTGCAATTAAAATGTTGCAGTTATAAAAAGTACTAAGTGATTCTAATGAGAACCTTGAAGGAACCCTAAAATTGTGGGGTGGGGTATGTGTCTCAGTAGTAGTGTGTATGTCTGGGCTTTATGCTCAGCATTGCAAAATAAAATAAGCAGGGCATGTGGCATATGCCTGTGATCCCAGCCTTCTGGGAGGCTGAGGCAGGAGAACTGCAAGCTTGAGCCCAGTCTGGGCCACTTAAGTGACTTAGCAAGCTCCTATCTCAAAATAAAAAATAGAAAAAAGCTGGGGAAACGGCTCAGCGCAAAGGCCCTAGATTTAATCTCCCACATCAGCAAGGAAGTAAAATATTAACAGAAAACCTCTGTTTTGGCATGTTAGTGTATATTTCTTTCAAGTGGTTATTAGGAGTCTTTTGTACCATAAGATTAATAGTATGTAATTTCACATTTGGCTTTTTGGCTATATGCTGTAGCTTAATATTCTCCATGTTATTAAGAACTCTTCATAAAATTAATTGCTTAGCTGGGTGTAGAGGTACATGCCTGTAATCCCAGCATGTGGGAGGCTGAGGCAGGAGGATCCTTGCAAGTTCAAGACCAGCCTAGTGAGCTCAAGGCCAGCCTGGGCTGCAGTGAGATCTCGTCTCAAAAAGACACCAAAAAACAAACAAACAAAACCCCAAATTGCTCAGTAATCACGTCATGTTGTGCTTTAAGCTGTTCTCTCCCACCAGTGAAGCGACTTTTCCACCAATGTAAATGTCCTATTCTGGTTTAGGAAAGACAGCTGCACACCTTGGTGTTCCTTCCAGAGGGATACCACTGGCATGTGGGGCAGAACAGCATTTACTGCGCAGGCTGGCTCAGAACAGAAGTAGCACTTGGTCACCTAGCAATCAAAACTACTAGCACAGGGCTGGCCAAATAGCTCAGATGATTAAAGCACCTGTAAGCAGGCTCAGGAGCCAGGGGTTTGATCCCTGGGCCTGCCATGCCAGCCCCACCCCTAAGGCACACTGAGATGGCAATTGGGCGTGGTGGTGCATGCCTGAAATTCCAGCACTTGGGAGGCTGTAAACAGGCAGATCACTAGAGTCTGACCTAGTAGTGAGACCCTGAACACCCTGGCAGACACTTCCCTTAAAAAAAAAAAAAAAGCAAAGAAAGAAAGAAAGAAAAGAAAATACACAAAAACAAAACTACTCGCACATTTCCGAGTGCCTGGCACAGGCAGAGGTGGGAACTGCTGGAAGGACTAGTAAGAGCACAGCTGAAGTGAGGAGCAGGGAAGAAAAGGTGGGAAGACTTCAGTCTGAGACTCGCCCAGGAAACTTAGCGAGACTGTCGAAATAAAAAGGTCTGAAAATCAGCTGATGGTAGAGCGCTTACCCACGATGTATAAGGCCATGGGTTCACCCTCCTGTACTAAGGGGAAAAAGGCATGGTATTTTTAATGCCTAGGTTCCCTGCAAGTCAGGAAACATGTGCAAGGCAGCTTGGGATAACAAAAAACAAACAGACTTTAGAGTCAGATCTAAGTTTGACTTCTTTTCTTTCTTTCTTTCTTTCTTTCTTTCTTTCTTTCTTTCTTTCTTTCTTTTTTTCGTGGTACTGGGGATTGAACTCAGGACCCTGTGCTTGCCAGGCAAGCACTTGCTCTACTGAGCTATCTCCCCAGACCCTATATCTAAGTTTGAATCCTGACACTATCTTTGGTTAACCAGAACTTTTCTAGGCAGTGCATCCTCTGGGACCCAGTTTCCATATTTGTAAAATGAGAATCCTGTAAATATCCTTACAGGGCTACTGTATTACAGGAGACAATATATGCAAAACACTTTGCAGGACCCCTCAGAAACCACAAAGACATCCAGCCCAGTGATAGTGGGGGACTACTAGGAAACAGACTGCTAAGAAAAGTAGAGGGGAAAGGCCTCTAAGCTGAAGACGTCAGCAACCCCAGGCAAGGACACTTTGCCTACTGGCGGAGGTCTGCAGGGATTGCCTACCATCAACCCCTGCCTTGCCTGACACCACCCCTACGGAGAAACTACCTTAGCAATGGTGTTGGCTTCTTCCTTGTATGCGGCGAGCTCCGTGCAGGAACTGGACTGACCGACATGCTGGGCACGGAAACAGCAAAAGAGGGCCTTGAAGATGTTACGTCCACGTGGCTTCTTAGGAGAGGACTTGGAGACCAGGCCTGGAGAGGAGGGGATGACTGGGCATCAGATATAGGGACATCAGTCTCTGTCAACAGCTACGGTGAGCAGTACCCTTTTGCGGTATGTAAGTTCTGTTAGGTACGTGGCATACGCCTGGCAGGCAGCCACATGCACTTAACCGTAAGCATGCACTTTATTCCAGCATCTTTCCTTTAAAGCAGAAATGGCAGGAAACCTTACTCTCTGGTTTGGGAAATGGGAGCCCTGAATTGCAGATTGGGATCTTCATTCCATAGGGGCCAGAGGAGAAGATGGACCAGGTACAGAGCCCCCCAGTATACTGAGGAGGCACTCAGAAGTAATGTACAAGGACATAAACCTCCCCCAACACCAGTTCCTAGAAAGTCACCTGCTCTAGACACCAATGTACCTCAGCCCCCTGAGTTAGGGACACTGTTGTTTGTTTCCGCCTCAGTTTTTCTAGGTGCTGGGCAGGAGGTAGCAGAACTGAGCCCAAACTGCCTAAAACCTCAGACCTGAAACTCCAGAATGGAGGCGGTGGTCCAAAGGAGGAAGCTATATCTTATTTACACCCTGCCACTCTCTTCAACAAACCCTTCCCTCAGAGACATGGGGCCTGACTGGGAAAATAGGACTGATTAAAGCCCATGGGACAAAACACACGCTCCAGGCCCTAAACTGTGGCCTCCGGTCCTACACTGCAGCTGCGCAGTCACCATGACTATCTGGGCTTTGAAAACATAGTCTCAATACATACTTCAGGCTTGCCTTAAGTCCACTTTGTAGCCTAGGCTGGCCTTAACCTCACAGACTCAGCTGCGTAAGTGCTGAGATTACAGGCACGTGCCCCCACGCTTGGTCATAAAGTCACTTTAATAGCACGCTTTGTAAAGCATTCCCCATAAGACCAAGCAGAGACACAAAGCTAGAATCTAAAAGTAATTGGAAATGGACTTCAGAATGTTTTGCAAGTTCCCTTTGCTTTATTCACCACTGTCCTGGCAACTGTTCAACAAGTTGCCACCTACAATGGACACTGTGGCCAGGAGGTGGCGCTACACAACCACGCTGAGCGGTTCCCAGGCACAAGTTGGGGGTGGGTCTTGCGGGTATCCCAAAGCCGGAGTGGGAGGCCGGCCTGGGCCTAAGGATTACATGCAAGCTGTTCCCGTTTAAGGTACTGGCAAACCACACAGAAAAGTAACACTGGAACATCAGTATGGCGCTCACAGCTATAATCACAGCACTCAGAATCACTCAAGTTTGAGGTTATCCTGGGCAACAGTGTGTTCAAGGCCAGCTTGAACTACACACCAAAACCCTGCCTGAAACACAAAACAAAACAAAACGAATACTGAATATCTCTGTTTCTGTGGGAAAGAAAAACACACAGAATGTACCACTGAGGCCTCCCCGTGTTCTGGATGGGGAGAAGACAAAAGCACGGTATGTGGCTGTGGACTCCCTGAAGGAGGACTCAGAGTCCGCACCAGGGAGGCTCTTACACACGTGGGCAACAGAAGTGTGCTGAACGGCGTTAGTGGGCTGCCTGCGACCCTGGAGAGCACAGAAAAGCCAACTGTCCCTGAGCCAAAGGGTGAGGAAATGGGCTCGCCTGATGGAAGAGAAGGGCTGACCTCTGATGTCAGCGCAGTCCCCCTCCCCCAGGACAGATCCCTGGACACTGGGAGGACCCCTGGGAAGCTTTTCAAAAATGATGACAGAGCCCCCAAACTGAGCTGTCACAAACCCAGGGGTGTGTGTGGGAGGTGTCAGGGGGTTGTGTTTTGCAGAAGCTGTGTGGGGGACCCAGGTCACAAAGACCAAAGTCAGCAAGCTGAGAGCTTCCTCAGCCTGCCCCCTCCATGTCCATTATTCTAATAATCCGCACAGAAACCAAAGGGAAAGAACGGCCTCCCCACCTGCCTGCCAGCTCACACTGAATTCCAAGCCCGCGGAAGCAGGGCAGATGCTGACACAAAGCTCCAAGGCCAAAGCTGAACCACTGTGTTTCCTTTGGTTTATGGTTTCTTCATGCAGCCACAATCAGAGGCTTAACCCGGGCTCGGAGCCTTTCTTAAAAGGCCACGCAGCCCCGGCCTTTCCTGAAGAGGGGGCACCAGGAATGCACTCTGCATCTTAGTGACTGATGCTGCAAAGGCTGAGTAATCCTGAGAGGCAGCAGGGTGAAAGGGGCAGCTGGCCGGGTCCACAGAAAGGCCTCGCCTTTGCCCACCACGGGGGGGCCCAACAGGCACAAGCACCCGGCCCTACACGGAGCTTGGGCTCTGCAGGGGCTGAGGAGCTTCTCAACAGCACAATGGGTCTGGCAGCCCCTGTACCTCAGAGATCACAAACGTGCTGACCTTGGGGCAGGCGCTGGAAGCAGACTATCCAGAGCCCGCAACAGCAAGGGTGTAACACCCGTTACTCCTCTTGCTTCCCCAGCCCCTCCTACCTCCATCCTTCTCCAGGCTCTCTGTCCCCCTTCTCCTTAGAAAAAGAACTCATCAGGATCTGCTCTAGCCTCCCTCGACATGGCAGCCTCCCCCAAAAGGTCTAAAAGGCCTCAGCCTGCTGCGGTCATCTAGCTACTGCTCAATAACTTTGACTGGTTGGAATGACTTCAAGGGCTTCTACTTCTGTGGGTTCTACAGAGCCGGGACCCAAGGAGGCCTCTCCAAGTCTGCAACAGTTCAGAAGCACTGGAAACAGGAAAGCTTTCTTTAGTGAAGAAAGGGAGGTGGCACTTCACTTCGGGAGCTGAGTGCCTGAGGCAAGACACTGAGTCTTCCTGGGCCTCAGCCACGTATACTGGGCACCAAGATGTGTCATGTCTTTGTTAGACACTTGCACCATTATGGTTAATCCTCATACAAACCCAACTGCAGGCAATGATTGTTTAATTCACAGGAGGGAAACTATGGAGGCATGACAGTGGAAGCAGGTCTGTCCGAACCCGGAGCCAAGGCCTGTAAGCAATATCCCACAGGACCTCTGACAGTTCAGGGACACCAGATGCATCTATGTATGCGACTGCTAGGAAGCCCTGTCTGTGAACACTGTGAAGGTCTCTTTACGGGAACACTTGCTCTACTGATCTCTAGGGTGGACTTCCAAGAGATCTGTTTGGGATCTAGCCCACTATTTCCTTCATTTCTCTTGGGTAGGCCATCAAAAGGGTAAGGGGGGATAAGGAGATAGCTCAGCGGTCTAAGTGCCTGCCTGGCAAGCACAAGGACCTGGGTTCGATCCCTGGTACCACATGCTGTGCAGGCCCTGCACTGAGCCAGCCACCAAAATTGGGTGTGGTGGCACACACCTGTAATCCCAGCACTGGGAAGGCTGAGACAAGAGGATCACTACAAGTCCGAGCTGCATAGTGAGACCCCATACCAAATAAATAATTTTAAAAAGGGTAATAGATAATAGTATAAGGCTCTGGGAATCTCTCGAGGCTCCAGTGAACCCATCCCCACCATTCTGAATCACTGTGACTACAGATACCAGGGGCAAGAAAGGACTGGAGTCTTTGTTCAGTAGGTTTAAGGGTGAAGGGGAATCACAGTAGAGTGGGATCTGAAATTTTTGTCAAGGAATCTTCCATGGCTCCTTTCAGCCAGCACGCAGCATTGTGCCCCAGAGAGCCAGCTACAGCCTCCCCCTAACCATCCGTCTGCCTTAAGGGCGGGTCTGGTAAGGCACAAGGAGCAGGGGATGGAACCACAGTATCCTGCTATCCTGCAGGCATCCTGCAGCTATCCTCTGTCTGATTGCGTTTGCATAAGTGGACACTTAAATAACTGAGCTAACTGGCAGGCCCCTAGAACAGGAACGTGAGACACAGGAGATCCACAGGCCCGAAAAGCTTTCAACTGCTCAAGGTTTCACCAGCAAGGGAAGACAGACAGTGAGCTCCACAGCCAGCTGCCCTCCCTCCCTCCTCTTACTGTTGCCCTCCATGGACATCCAGTCCTCTTTTACTGCCTAGATGCTAAAGTGAGTGTGCACTTCCTGCTTTAAACACCTGTTTTTGGACTAGATGTCCCAGAGGACCTGCGCAGATCCAGTGAGGGAGTCAGCTCTAGCCTAAGAAGCAGGCAGGTAGGTAGGTGGCTGAAGGCCACGAGGCCAGGTACCCCTCCAACACACCTCTCCTCACGGAGGCGGGTGTGGAGAGAGGCAGCCTGCTCACCAAGAAGCCCTGGGCTGCAGACCAGGCTCAGCCAGTTACTGACTCAACCACACAGCCTCCTGGAGTCCCTGTTTCCTCATCCACAACATGGGGTTGGGGATAAACAAAAAGATAAACAAAACCTACAGTAAACTACTATGCAAACTCCTTAAATGCTATGCTTATTTTAATTAATTAATCTGGCTGGCAAATCCAGGGTCTCATCAAAGAAGACCAGAAGCAAATGAGTGAGACCTGTGCACGCCCAGTCTATGTGGCTGAATGCCAGGAACAGAGATTGAAGGAAGAGTGCCCAGGAACTGCCCCAAACCTTCTTCCTATACCTACCACAGAAGCCATGCCCCAGTCTGCCTCAGTCCTGGCCGGTCCTTGAAATGATGGGAAGGCAGGCAAGGCCACCTGGCGTGAATGGCACCCCAGCACCGGTGACACCCTCCCGTCTCCTCCTATAAAAAGCGTGCGCACAGCATGGCATGGTAGTGCACACCCGCAATACCAGCACGTCTGGGAGGATTGCAAATTCGAGCCCAGCCTGGGCAACTTAGTGATTTAGAGAATCCCTATACTAAAAGATAAAAATGGTGGGGGATGGCTCAGTATAAAGAGCCTGGGCTCAATCTCCAGTACTGTAAAAACAATAACAAAAAACACATAAAAAAAAAAAAAAGTACGACCAAGAAAAAGAAAATGAGAAAGAATGGTGTACACGTTCACATGGGCAGAGGCAGACCTGCCTTATCAGATGTTGTTTTTACTCGCGGAACCAGGGATTGAACTCAGACCCTTGCGCTTGCCAGGGAAGCACATATCCTACTGAGCCAT